CAGCTGGGATCTGGCCATGTGTACAGCTGGAGGCCTGAGCTGCCCCCACAGACAGCAGGGCTCATGTGCAGATTGAAATTCAGCGGGTAACACCGCCTTGTGTAGGAAGGACAAAGATATACTTTGTGTATCTATGTAGAAGAAGACGCTGGTCTCAGTCCCTCCATCCCAGCCCCATTTGGCACTTTGACGGTACCAGTGAACTGCCTGCTCCAGAACTGGGCCTTCAAACTTTCTCCCTTTACCAGAAGAAATTGTTCTTAAGTACCATAAGAAAACCTGGTGCACACACAGCACCAAGTACAGATGCACCCTGCAGTCTCTACTCTCCTCCTTTTCCTCTGTGTCCTCCCTCCCACCCCTGGCTGCCAACCAAAGCCTTTCTTCTTGAGGTGGGGAACATCATCTGCCTGAGCCACAGCCCAAGACTGTGGACAGACTTGCCAGCCCTCTGCCCCTGGAAAGGCAGACAGCCCCAGACAGGCTTCCTTGCGCTATGCATGCCCGCCAGCGCAAACACCTTTCGGCCCAGTCGTTCTCGCACCTCTCCCCTCCCCAGAAGTCTCATGGCCTTCTCTTTGTGCTAGCTTTTGCCGAGCTGCAGACAGACATCCATGAGCTGACCAGTGACTTGGACGGAGCCGGGATCCCCTTCCTGGACTACAGGACCTACACCATGCGGGTGCTGTTCCCAGGCATTGAGGACCACCCTGTGCTCCGGGACCTTGAGGTGAGAGGTGGCAGCCCCTGCTGGAGTCAGGGTAGGGAAGCATGTTGGCAGCATGTTGGTGAGAAAGCTGAGGCCAGGGAGAGAGCACACCAGGGCCCAAGTCCCCTCACTTATGGGTAGAAGCCAGTTCTTCAGAAGACGGGGCCCAGCCAGGGACCATCAGAGCAGACATGTGAGTAGTAGCACTTCAGGTCTTGGGGTCATACAGTTCTTTGAGAGAAATGGGCTTTAAGGACTCTCTCCAGTAAAATTTGCCCATACACAGAAGCAAGAAATGTAGGGAGTTCATGGACCTTGTTTAAGAAGCCATGTTAGAAAGGATCTTACTGTTTAGTTGGTCTCAATAAATATATAAGGGATTTTGCCACTTGGTGCCTAGTTGGAAAAGATAAGCAATGTGCAGGGAAGGGAGGTGGAAATGTGAATGATAAAACCTAACAGTCTTTTTAACAGCAGGGACCTCATCTCCTCAGCATTTTATCCCACTTACTGTCTAGCATGGTATCTGGCTTATGCATATATTCATATTATGCCTTGTTCTGAAAGGGCTTTAGAACGGCTTATGAAGATAAATACCAGAGAAAAGTGAAAAATACAAATGAGGAAAAGAGAGCAAATGATAATCCTCAGGAATGATCAGTATTAGTTGACTGTTAGTAAAATTCCCCTATGGCTTTTAGACACTTTGTGTGAACTCATTCGGGGGCTTTCGGAGCTGGTGAGCCCACTTTGTAGATGTCAAAACTAAGGGGACAGAGAAGTTCAGTGGTTGTCTGTGGGTGTACATCTACTGGGGACCGAACAAAGTGTCGATCCCAGGCAGTGGAACTCCAGCATGCTCACTGTCAGCCACCAAGCCGAGCGCCGACCTCTGGGGTGCCGTGGCAGTGGCCTGCCTTGTGGTTCTTGGTCCTT